AGGCTGTCCAATGATCCATTAGATACATTAGTCTCCCAAAACATCATTAACCAAAAAATCACTTAATTTGACTAAAATAACTTTATAAATAGTAAGAATTCTCAAAGTTAAAATCCAGGATATTACAGTGCTTGTGCAATCTACTTCCCAAAACAACGTAGACTGCAAACCTACTTATATAACTTGATGCCATCACAAGTGCAAAAAATATGATATGGGTGTCTATAGAAAAAGTCATTCAACAGCAAAATATACTAAATAAATAAAAATCAGATATATTTCAATTTCAAACTAATTAATATGAATATGGTTTTCATCTCCTTTCAATCCTTACATTGAATTGGAATTCTAACATCTATTCTTGGTGTGTCTAGCCTAATTACATCTTCAGTAATGATACACCTTTTTATTCTAAAACTATAACTCTCTTTACTTAGTACGTGGTCATCCTGGGGGACGTGCAGTCAGTGATAATTTCAGAAAGGTATTATTTTCATAATCTTCATAATGCAACTTGGTCAATTGAGGCCATGTCAATAATTTTCACTGAAATCATTATAAAGCTATAAATTTTTCCTTGTGCATAGATGGTGTAGCATTCTTCAATGTATGAATACATATTGCTGTAAACCAATTTTATTTCTGCACATGCACATGTACAAGGAATTCCTACCATCTTCTATTCTTGACAAAAGCATTCTTGTCATGTCAAATTCACTTTTGAGTCATTATTTCCTACCTTCATCAATATCATATTCACAATATAATATTTAGCTACATAATTTTAGATCTCAATACATTCTCTCTCAACTTGGCTTCAATACGAGGTCCAACTCTATTTGACTTGTTTGCCATTTTTGTCTTGTTGTTGTATAGCTTCCTTGCTAATTTTGCTCGGTACTTATTTATCAATGCACATATATGATGTTTTCTCTCTTTCACTAGCCAAGCATTGATTTGTTGTTATGTTATCCCATCTTGTATATGAAAATCTTTTAAGGTTCAACAATCTATATCTCTATTTGTTTCTAACTATCTTACCAATTGTGAGGAGAATTACTTAAAGCAACATGAAATTCTGTTTTCAACCTTACATGTTCAATATTATCCAATAACTTAAATACATCTTCCTTGGTTTTCTTATTAATCCTTCGCTTGCCTTTTTAATTTTCATAAACTCAAAGCTATAATTTTCTTTGAGACAATAACAAAAAATATGTCGAATACTCCATTGCTCTATCTATAAGTTCATTATCATTTCTCTCAATATATATGTGTGCATTAGATGCAATATTTTATAGTTTTTAATTGAAATTTTAATGTTTTATGATCCTTAATTGGGATTAATATCCTTAGGGGGTCCTTAGTTGTCATTTCCCTAAAATACCACCTTTAACTATGGGCATTAGATGTAGTACTTTTTTAATTTTGAATACCAGCTACTTTATTTCCAAATCAAATTGCATAAATGTTTAGTCTATTGCCAATAAAAAAAAACTATTTTCACTAAAATAACTCACATTAAAAACGTAAAGTATCTCTTTGATAGCTATGTTCATAACCTACATGGATTTTCAAAACACACTCGGAATTCTCAGCTCACAAACCATCATTTAAGACTCGATAATATACCCATTACTAAACATGTTTCAAATAGCCTAACAAAATTTTGAGTAGCAATTACCTCAAAAATGTAAAAGAAAATTTCAGACTTAGCCAAAAGGACGCAAACACTAATAGCAAAGTGATTTACGTTGTTGTACTATTGTATTGTCCTTTGTAATACTCCGCCTGTGACTTACCCTGTTTCACCAAAAAAAACATATATGTATCTATGGAAGAGGATCAAGTCCCACGGATGATTCATTGATCCTAACACCATTAGTGTTCATATTAGGACTTTCCACCTGCAATGTGTGCTTTTGATGTTTTTAGTAAGTCCAAATTTTAGAGTAAATTTGGCATTGTTGGTGTTCATATTTTCACCATTACCCATTTTAGCATATACTCTGTATATCACATGCACCTAATTTCCTAACATTCAATTTGTCTATAAAGATCATCGAAACTCACTGCCTTGTCACACACCTCCACTTAATCTAAACCTACCAAACTTAGTATAGCTTAACAAGATTAACTTGCCAGAGATAGCTTTTAAGATTGTTGGCAATGGTAGATAAAATTATAGTTTGGGTCGTGCTCTAACACACTGTCTTTAAAAGCTGTCCTGTAACACTAGGTTGATTGCGTGGTAGTTCCCAATGATTAAACATGCTCTTCTTCTAAAATGAATAAGGACATAGAATAACAAAAATTCATAAAATAAACTAAGGCAACAACATACATAAAACAATATGATAGAAAAGGAGAGAAAGCTCAAAAACTCAAAAGCTTAGTATACAACTTGTGGCAAATATTGCCTTTTATATGTACAAATTTTAAATCATTGAGCAATATAACCACCTTAATCATAATTAAGAAATAATTTCAAATAATAATATTATTTAAATTATATGTTACAAAATAATAAATAAACTTAAATAATAATAAACACTATTATTAATATATAATAATAATTCCTTTTAAAATATTCATGAGTATTCTATCATATCCAACACATGCTTCGTAAACCAGTTGCCACCCCTGAAAGCAAAGGGGCCTAAATATTCTACTGGCTTTTTACAAAGGAAAGATGTCAACAACGTGGATTTCCTTTTGATCTAACTAATCGATTCCATTATCCAAACCTTTTGTCTACTATGGAACCAATATGGACTTGATCCTCCATGAAAGAATGAGTGACTACAGGATCAAGGACGGGATGTTGGATACGAGGGAGTTTATTCTACCTAAAATCATTAAGCAAGCAATGCTTGTCAAACTATCCAACCCCATCACAGTCTATTGGATCAAGTAGGTAAAGTTACATGTTGTGCAATGAAAACAAGAGTTGAATTAAAGTATTCATCAACAAGCTAAAGTGCTCCCTCGCTTAATGGCCAGGGAGATTAGGAGATTGCTTTTGATCATGTCTATAAAAAAACTAATAGATGCGCCAACTTAATGCCTACAAGGTATCAATAAAGAATTTTGATATTAGCTTATTTGACAATTCACCTATTGACTGTATAAGCTTTATAGCTTTTGATATTACTTGATCTTGGTTTATCTACAGGATTTTGCCATGGCCTTGTATTAAAAATAAAAGTGCTCCCCACCCATTGGTATTTTGGTAGAGTTATTGATAATTTTGAAGGCTTCAGACTTATTTGATACAAATGATTAAAGAAAAATAACATGTGCAATGATTGGATGGAAACCCTCACGCTGTTTTTTTTTTAATTGAAGGCATAGGCACTAATGACATGAAATTATAAGTAAGATCAAAACTATAAGTTCTTACAAGGAAATTGACTTGTTACTAGGTTATAAGACCATTGAACTCCACTCTAATTTAAAAAAAAGAAAATACTTGAGAGTTTATTATTTGATAAATATCCTCAATAAAATTAAATACATTCTAATGTGAGAATGGACAATTACAATTTATCATATCTTTGAGGAAAAAATATATACTTACAATTTACTAAGAAGTTAGATCCCTTCCCACGAAATATAGAAAATTCTCATGGTCTAATTTATATAAAATTATATAGTTAGTTTCTTGCTCATAATATAACATCTAACTTTCCTTTTTCTATTACCTAACCTAGAGGCAGTGATGGATCGAGGGGGGCATGCAGGGGTTCTTCCCCCACACCTGCCCCCCAAAAAAAAAAAAAACTAATGACTTTTCTTCCTTTTTACTTAAAAAAATGAGAAATCTAATTTTAGCCCCCCCACTTCAATAAATTTTTTCATTTTGGCCCTCCCACTTATTGGACTCGTCCCTGCCTACGTGTCTTATATTAAAATATATATATATATATATATATCTTCTACAAAATTGATATTTTTCTTAAAGAAAAACCTTATCGATATTTTTCAAATTTCAACCGGTCGCATATTGCACGTGACTTGGTTGAAGGATTGATGAATACATGTTTATTTTTCTATTTTGTTGTTTCTCAAACTATTAATATTTATTTTCACTTTAATTAACCTATAGTTTTCTTTGACTATAAAAAGGGAAGAGAGAGAAATTAGAAATTTGTGATTTGAGCGTAATAAATAATAAATATTTTTTATTATTTATTTCTCATATAAAATTTTATTTGCAAATGTTTTTATTCTATATTTCAAAAATGAAGGAATTTATTCTAAACAGAAATACTTTTTTAAAAAAATAATAATAAAATTCTTCAAATAATATAAATAATAATTTAATCTCTCAAACATAATTCCGCTGAAGTTTATAAAAAATTTTATATTGATAAATTTTAAAATAAAAAAAATCCTTTTATATTTATTAAAAATAATATGTTTCGCTAACAATTTTTGTTTTAGAAATAATTTTTGTTCTGTGAATTATTGAATAAAAAATCATAATTTATAAAATATAATTTTTGTTATTAAAAAATAAACTTCAATTACAAACCTTTATTTAAGGAATAATATTTTTTATTTTGTGAGTCATAAAAAATTAATAAGAAATTAAAATTTATCAAATATAATTTTTATTATTAAAAAATAAATTATTAAAATAATAAGTTGCAATTATAATTTTTACTAAAAAAATAATAATTTTTATTTAAAAAATAGTAAGAATTTAAAAAAATTATAGTTTATTAGTAATAATAAAATAATTTTTTTAATTTAAAATTTATTAATATAAAATTTTTTAAAATTTTAATAAAATTATAATATTTTAAAAGATTGAATTGTATTTATATAATTTGAAAGGATTTATCAGTTTTTCTACTTTTTATCATTTAATATGCTAAAGCAATTGCAAACAAGACCAGGTTGGGGGGAAAATTGCGCGCTTTAACATTACCCAAAATCGTTGGCGCGAAAAATGACTCCCCTCTCTCACCCATTTCATATTATACGAAAGCCTTTGTGTCTTCCTGACATTGGCCACAGAAAGGTGAAGCAGGGGTCATTTTAATTTCAGGGGATTAGGGCTTGAACTTTGAATCTCAAGGCGAGGGCATCCATCTCCGCTCATGTCTATCACAGATCTCCGATGACTTGGCTGTCATTTCTGTTTTTGTCGGAATCTGATTAACAGCGGGCTTTCTTTCCCTTTCGTCTGGTGCGGGGTGCTGAAGGAGCTTGAGAATGGCAGGTGCAGCCATTGTTGACGCTGATGTTGGAGTTAGTAATGAGGACCGACAACCGAACTGTCATGCTCGCCCTAGAAATATCCGGAAGAGGAAAAGGCTCGCCTTATCGCTGGTAAATCTGAGCGCCAAAGAGAAAGAAGCCCACATCAAAGCCCTTCAGAAGGAACTTGACGGACTTTTGGAATACTACAAGGAGGTCAAGGATCAAAAAGTGGACGTCGAACTGAGCGAGTGTGCTTCGAGGAATGCGGTAATCGCTGTTTTAATGGAAGAGAGCGAGCTTCCCTTGTCGAGGCTTGTTGACCAAATTTACGGCAAGTTAAATAGGGCAGAGAACGGGCTTGCGTTCGATCCGGTGACATATGCGTCGGTGAAAAGTAGTGTGCTTTTCGTGGGCCAGAGGCTGATGTATGGTGTGCCCAATGCTGATGCTGATGTACTGGAGGACGATTCTGAGTCATGTTTTTGGTGTTGGGAGGTATTTTTTTACCGGCTTTTGCATATCTCTGTTAATAATTTATGTAATCTTTAACCTTTTTGGGTATCTTATTTTAACCTTTTAATTTTTTCGTATGTGCTTCAGCAAAATCAGATTCGATAGTCTCAATTGTAAACGCTAGACTGTGTTCTGTGTCCTTTTGATTTTCAATTCTTTTAATTTTTGCGTGGTTATCTTCATGGCTATAGTTAATATTTATCAGTGCAAATTGTTAGTACTCATTTTGTTGTTCAATGCATTTTTTCTTCTTGGATCTAGTTAGCGGTTCCTTGTCATTAACTTCTTTCACCTAAACACTATTCAGTCACACATCTTAATGTCGACTTATAGATGTCGGTATATGCTTTTGTATTTTTGCCCGATTCTTGTCTACCTTAATAATCTGTGCTGGCACATTGACTAATTTAATAAACATGCAGACTCGAGATGTGAAATTGATACCAGTTTCTGTTCGAAAACAGTTCACTGTTCGGAGAACCTGCCGCAGAAAGATCCATGAGAGAATTATGGCCGTTTCTGGTACTGCATTTCCATGCTCTTGTGGTTAGCTTTGGTTATCCACTATATTCTAAATTGAATTAATTGTCTATTACTCTCATTGAAAGAAGCCTACTACAACTCATGGCTTGCTGTTAACTTTTGGTGTTGCTGTGGTGATTATGTGTGGAAATTGTCAGATGGAGATGATATATATCTTCCTAGTTCTATGTAGTAGTTACTAGTTTTCCCCCCGTGGAAGCACTGCCTAGTGCCTACATGAACATCTAGGATAGCATATCATCAAGCTTTTAGTTTGGCAACTCTTATGAGAACAGCATAATGCTTTTATGAAACTCTGCCGTCTGCAAGGACATAGTTGTAAACAGATAGTTTACTATTTTCTTGCCAAGTCCAAGATCCTTGTGGACTGTAAATTTTGTGACATATAGACGTGTTTTTATATTGAATGTTCTTTTGAGTACTGAAGCTGCAGGGACAGTTCCAGGTGATAGCTTTCAGGGGTAGTCGTTCCCTCTATTTCCCCTCCTTATATGTAGCACGCAAGCAAGTAATATCTTTTATAAAAATAATTGTCCCTATCCCCCCTAAAATTTTTATCTTTGCCCCTCAAACTTTTTTTCCCTGTTTCCTTTGATGTTTTAGTTGTAATACATAAGAAGGGTATAATAAATTACATATTTTGTTTTTCTGAGCAATGAAAAGGAATGCTATTTCATGTTTGTCACCAAACACCCCCAAGTCTTAAATGCATGCTTTAAAGATGCATCTAGTTACCTTGATCTTAGAATTACATTTTTATGAAACAAATAAATGATAATAATTAAGACTTCTTAAAGTAGTTTCTTATCTCTGTACTTGAAGAATAATTAACTATATGCTATTGACACTTATCTTTTCATTTTACTCCATGAAATTCCTCTGTTTTTTTTAAACCATACACTCTATGCATGTAGAAACTTAGCCTAATGATATGAACGATGACTTCATTGCATATTATTTGGCTATTTAAATTGAAAAGTAGATTGCAAAAAAAATTCCAAATAGAAGAGACTATGGATAAATTCTATCCAACTAAAATTCAAAGAGCAATCCTAATGAGTGACTTGTTATTATCAATGGAATATATACGTTCATTATATTAGGGAAGTCATATCTCTTATATGATTGTTGTATTTCTCTGCTCTTTTTATTGTTATGTATCTCTGTTTTTCAGTTTTAATAAATCTAATTAATTTTAATTTTGCATATATTAAATTTTATTTTTATTAATTCTCAATGGCTGTATTAAATACAAATCTTTGCCTTCCTTACCATTTTCTCTTTCTAGTTTTATCTCCATGAGACTGTAGAGTGGATAGTTTTAGAAATTGCTATATTTTAGTACGATGTCAGGTGCTGCTTTGAAAAATTAATTTCTGGTTAGTTTAGTGGAAGGCATGCTTTCTCATATGCTATCTATTTTATAATGCTCCTGCCTCTTTTTCAGAAATGATAACTATGCTGATGAAGCCAGAGGGTGAACAGATATCCAAACAGAGCTTAATAAAGGCGTCAGAGAAGCTTGATAAAGCCTTAACTGAACCAGATATCCGCTTGTTAGTGGATGGCTTACAGCAGAAGAACAGTGTTGACATGTACATAATCAGAATACTCTGGACATATACGACTGCTCCTTAAGATATATAGTACCTTTTATTTAATTATTTACATTATAATTTTAGGGCTAAAAGGGAAGCAAGGAGAGAAGAGAAATTGCTACTTAAACAGTTGGAAAGAAATAGAAGAGGGATTGAAAACGAGAACAAAGACACTGTCCATGGAATGCAAAGGGAAATGTTGCCTGGTGTAAGTATTTGCTGTTTGTATCCTCTTATCTGGTGTTTATCGGTACAGTTCCTGACCTACATAGGCATTCTATATAAATCTTCATGTTAAAAGGTTTCTATTGGCCGAGGTGATGGAGATATTGACAGAAGAAAAACAAAAGGTTTCTGCAGGAAGTTTAACTGGGAAGGGGGATTGACCTGGTGATAGAACAATGTGATTCTCGGTTTCATTTATATTGGATACAGCCTTCCATAGTTTATTATCATTATAATCTTCTAACTTGTTAATCTATCTAATGAATATTAATTTATCTTTTGACTGTTGAAGACTGTCTTTTCCACCAACTGCTCAATTATTGCAGGAAAATGTTCCACAAAGAGAGGCAAGAAAAGATGAAAGATGTGAAAATGATGGATTTGAAAAGAGGAAACAGCACAGAAAGCAGATAGAGGATGGTGACAAGGATCAACGGCGTCAACAGAAAGAAGAAGCTGAATTGAAAAAGAAGCGTTCATTACAAAAGCAAGCCTCTATAATGGAGCGCTTTCTTAAAAGAAGCAAAACCAGCCCCTCATGCAAGAGTGACTTGTTCTCAGCTAAAGCAAACATGTCTAAATCATCAAATAGAGACGGTGAAAGTTTGTCTGGGTCCATTACACAATCAATGGATCATAGTCTTGCATCAAGTAGTGAGATTAGTATTGAGGATCTTCGTAAGTAAGTTTTTTTTTTTCCTTTCTTTTTTAAATTATTCTTTTGAGAAGTAACTATTAGGATCATTGCAAGGGGTTTTTTCGGGGCCCCAAATCTATTTTTGGATCTCAAGAAAAGATGCCCAACTATGCAGGTTGCATTTTTCTTCATGGCACAGTTTAGGTCAGTCAATTTGTTCAAACAGAAAATTTTGCTGGGGCTTACGTCAGAAGCCTAAGATTGAACTTTTTAAGGAGCTTAAGCTGATGACTACTAGAGTAATAGCTCCTTATGATGAGCTAGGCGTGGAGAAGCAAGTAGATGGATTGAGAGGAAATAATTCTGACATCTTAACATGCATGATGAATCCGGATGATTCTCTGCTGGAAATCAAGAGGTGCTGTCATGGAAAACAGTTGCTACAGTTTGATAATAGCCATAAACCTGCCTTTTATGGTATGTGGCCCAAGAAAAGGTTAGTTCCCTAATGATTGGGGTTGGATTTCAGTACAGCTCACTTGGTCCTAAATTCTTTCCTAGAAATCAAGGTCTCAAGTTTTACTGTTCTTCATATGCATCTTTTTCTAATTTTTAATGATTCTAATGTATATGTACTTGATAACTTCATGGGTTAGAACTTGTTTTGTATAGGCTAATTATACTTTCAATTAAACTATACGTTTCATGTTCAACTTCATCATAAGTTGCAAGTCTTTCATAATGTTATGTATTCAATTACTTTTTTTTTTTGCCTTTGTTTAATTACTTGATATAATTTATTAAATTAAGTGATGTACGCATTGCTTTTGACTCACTTTATTGCTTATTACATGATGAGTACTTCATTGGGATGGTGATTCCTCTCCTAAAGGTAGTTGTTGAGATGGGAGAATCATTTCATTTAAATACTTTACAGAGCATCCCATCCTACTTTATGCAGGACTTTGGATATTACTTAGTCTCCTTCAATTGCCCCCCTTGGAGAGCTAACATCCTAGTGATTATACTTTATGACACTTCAATTGGCTTTCTTGTCTCTCAGAACCAAATCTTTTGTAGGTAGGTGATACATGGGAATTAGGAATAGTAAGGATAATTAGGGGTAAAAGGATAGGTTGGGAATTTAGTTATATTCTTTATAAATAGGGCCGGCAGATCTGCATTCCCTATCTTTTTCCTTTTTTTTTTCCCTGCTGAAGAGAAAGTTCAGGTGAGTTAAGTCCGGATAGCTCATTAGGGTCAATTCATGCCTCTAGGCTCAAAGAGCATTTATAAAGGTACTTAAAAATCACCTATTAACAAAGTCCTCACATCGGCAGTGGGATTTGATCTCATGATCTTGTGAAGTATTGGCCAAATCTTTACCAGCTGGATCAATTTTTGTTGGTGTCTATAATCCCTATCTTGTGAATGATATTACTAATTTCTTAGTCTCTGCCTCTTTTCCCTCTATCGATATGCCCTTTTGAAACTGTCAACCATTAGTTCTAATACCAATTGATGGGTATTCAAACATCTTATGGAGTATCTCATACTACTCTGCATGTGGGACCAAGCATAACATGCTACTTGGGTCTTCATCGTTACCCAATCCTCAGACCTTGGTGCCTTTCATAATAAATTCATTTGTTAAAGAAGTAAGCCTACTAAGCAAGCAGTAGTTACAATTAGCTCTTAGACTCTTACGTGCTCATGAAAATTTAAATTTTACTTTAAGGCGGATTTTGATGCCTCATCTAGTAGAATTGCTGTTCATCATGGACTGTGTTGTCTTATTCTTGAGATCGCCTATTTGTTTCTAGTCATGTTGTTGGGCCACGCCATCCTTTCAGAAAGGACCCAAGCCTGGATTACGATATCAGCAGTGATGAGGAATGGGAAGAGGTACGTTGAATTTTCATTTTCAATTTGAATAAAATATGATGGATGCCATCTAGTACCAACATTCTCAATTGTCTAGGAGGATCCTGGTGAAAGTCTTTCAGATTGTGACAAAGATGAAGAAAACAGTTTAGAGGAAGGTTCAAAATCTGATGATGAAAGTGAAGATGGATTTTTTGTACCTGATGGATATCTCTCTGAAGATGAGGTAAGTCTTTGGTTTTTGTCCCCTTAAATGAAGTTGCATTTGGATGTTTACATATGATTACTGAAAGTAGAAAAATGTGTGCTGGAATCCCATTTTCTTATATATCATCACTTCTCCTTTGGAACACTTGCTAGCAATTGGAATTTGTCAATTAGTGACACTACTCACCAGTCTCCTATTATCTGAATGCAGGGTGCACAAGCGGATAGATTAGAAGCAGATTATGAAATTGACATTGAGGGCACTGGAAGCTCAACCGGATGTAAAGATATAGAAATTGAGTTCTGTACGGTTCTTCATCAGCAGAAATATCTGAACAATTTGACAGAGCATGCTCTTAGAAAAAATCAGCCCTTGATAATAACAAATTTGATGCGTGATAAGGACTTTATGTTATTGAGTCACAATCTTAGTGCTAACCCTAAGCCAGAGTTTGTGAGCTTGCAAGCCTTGAGCATGCGCTTAATCCCTGGTAGCTCATGCATAGAAATATGCATGGATAAAATGCAAGATGAGGACCAAGAAATCTGCCTCTCTAATGGTAAAAGTGCTGCTGCAAACTATTTCATGGAGGAAATTTCAGAGTCAGACCTACCTGTCTTTGTAAGCTATCCATTTCAGCTCTTTTATCATAAAAAAACTATATCGCATAATTATGCTAGACACCAGAGTCAAATCTGCCTATAATTGTTAGTCGTGCATTTCATCTGGTATAATGTCTAAGTGGCTAGATACAGTGGCATGCAGTTGAAATTATAAGTTACTAAAAATGATAGAGATTTTAATTGGGTGATTTGAAAGTTACTGTGATTTTGAAAGGATAGATTGTTCACAATTTCCGTTGAGATGCTTGTGATGGGTTTAGCTGGAAAGACCACCAGACTTCAGCTGATTTTGGGGTGTAGGATGCAAATTTCTCAAGCATATAGTTATTTTGCCTTATTTTCTCTCCATGCTTCCAGGTTACTGCTATTCAGACTTGTTCTGAGGACATAAATAAGGTGTTAGAGTCTTTGCAACACAAGTTCCCTGCTGTCTCGAAGTCTTTTCTGAGAAGTAAAGTGCGTGAAGTATCAAATTATGTTGATAACCGTCTGCAGGTTTGTGATTAGTGATATAACTCAACCTAATTGATTTTAAGCAACCCTTGATTAGTTTTATAATGAGAAAATGGCAGGTCATAAATATACTTAGGAAAATAATTACTGAAAACTAGCCAAAATTGCATAGGTGTCTAATTCTGCGCATGAGTGGTACTGCCTAAACATTTTAGTGACCATGAAAAAGCTTTTTGAAGTTAAATGAAAGCAATTTTTGTTGAAAGTGCTTTTAAACGAGTGGTTAAAGTGATTGAATCTTTTGCGTGATATTTGCAATTTTGTTCAAGGTCACCCAGAAATGCTTGACCACTTATTCTTTGAATGTGCTATATCTTCTTATATTATTAAAAAATTGAGTTGATATTGGCTCTTTTAGAATATCTGTGTAGCAGCATAGGAAAAAGCGTAGTTTAGAATATAAATTTTGGGTGGCTGTGTTCTGTGATGCGATCTATGTTGCTCGGCAGGCTAGGATTTCGGCAGGAAGTCCTAGATAATGCTTAAATCTGTTACAAAATTGTACATGATATAAAAATATGGAAATGCTTGTAGTTGGGAGAAATAGGTGTGCTAGGAAGTTGGGTAGAAGATTTAACATTTTTTAAATTGGTCTGTTACCTCTTGTAGATCATTTTCTTTTGTATGGGGATATGCTTCTCTTGATGTGATTTTTCTTAGAGGAATATAATTCGTTCACCTTAAAATAAGGGCAATTTTTAGCCTTGCACTGGATGAACAGATTTCATGGACCTCATTGCATTCTGTTGGGTGCCGTTTTTTAAGCCACTTGAATGAAAAACGTGAAACTTTGATTTTTGAACGGAAAGATCTGAATGTTAACAAGTGAATCCCGTGCCAAAATGATTGCTCGCTCCCTTTGAATGAAAAACGTACACCCTCTGGTTGACTCTTGATTTGTAAGTTTGCTAAATTTATAGCTGAATTATCATGCAGGTAAAGAAAGAAATTTTGATTAAGCTTGGCTTGGCATTCTGCCCTGGTATGCAGCAATTAATATTTTTTTTTATCATATCTAGGTGCCTCAACCCGGTTTGCCCATCTGAAATTATCTTTGATAAATTGGCAGGAAAGAGCAGCAGGGGAGCCAGGAGTATCACTACCTTTTTTTCGAAAAGGTGTTTGCCTCCTACTGGCGAAAGCGTGAGCCCCGGTGAAACTTCACTCTAGTCCTTTGTGAATAATACTTAACTATTTTTTTTTTCTTAAAACCTTTTTGTAAGTTCAGGTTGGACTTCGCAGAAACTTCATAAAAACGATATCATAGTTCAGGTTCTTTTGAGTAAGCCCCCTGATGCCATTTCTCAATTAGCAAGAGATGTTATGCTAATCGGCGACTCGTTATTCAAACTCAGCTAGTGTCTCGCTTCTGACCAAAAAAAAAAAAAAGGAATAGTGTCTATCGCTTATTAGAAGTTTGGAATAAAATGTTCTTGGGTAAATTTAGTAAGCCGTTATAAGAGGTGTTCTTAATTCAAATCAGATGCCTTCAAATTCGCCGTCTTGTGCATGTTTCCGTTCATCTGTCGAGGCGTTTTCTGTAGTTTTAAATTGGCATTTGAATAAAGATGCACCGTGTTAGCCGCCAACAACATTAATGAATTGATGATGATGATTATTATAGTAGTCATAGAATTGGTAGCAGTAATAAATTCTCTTGAAAAATTACATATCTCAACCGAATACCTTTTTGAAATCTGGCCGAAAAAATACAATAAATGCAAGCCATACATAGATGATAATAGAAAAGTAATTAAACATTTTTTTAAAGAAAATAGTAATTGCGCATTGATTTGTCACGAACTCGAGAGTGAAATGTAAATGCTAGATACACGGTTAAGACCAACGAATTAATGAATGGAGTTGTGAGGAGGGGCAAATTGTTAGACCTGGAAAGGCCACGGCCAATCCTTCAAATCCTCCTCCTGCTGCACCTTGGCACTTCTCATAGCCATGGTATTGACCCCAGAATCACCATTAAGGTGGGCGTAATACTTTAGGAAAAAAGCGAGCGTCAAAACGACCCACTCCAGGCAAAATATCAAAATACTTAGCCCACCGGCCAATTTGATTATGACAGAACCATCCTCTTCTCTTACATAGGATTTCAACTGACCAAGAAAATCCCCAGTTCTTGTAAAGATGAGAACAGAAACGGAACCCTGAAATATGGCTGTTAGCACGGTGGCTACCATATGAGCAGAGTACCAGCGGCTAGCCCCAGCGGAAGCTGCAGCACATCCTGAGACAGCTCCTGCTATGGTCAAGACGTGGAGAAGAATCAGGAAGAAGCCACAGACAGAGGGTATGAGGCGAAGCGAGAGGGTGAGAAAGATGCAACTGGATGCCGCACCCAATAGTATATAGTTGCAGAAAAGGAAGACCTTGTAGGTGTGGCAATGCCGAGTGAATGAGCTTGCTGCTGACTGACCGTTCGCAGGAATACCCATTTCCGACGAGTGTGAGGAAGATTTCGCTAGTTTATAGTAGTTTGTGTTCTTGTGGATGGATCTATGTGTTTAATGGCCTCCAGCGCTTGCTTCCTCATTCATTATATAAAGCCAGAGTTCCGAGGCCGAACGGTCATGTACTCATATATTCGTTAGCTGGGACTCAAGCTGGGTGGAGTGGAATATAACCGTTAGGGAGTACTTTAGAACTATTGCAAGTTTGTAACGGCTAGTTCTATAAAAGTCACATATCCGTTGTTTCCATATCTTTAAATCAATTTAAGAGTTTTAATTGATATTCCTTTATCCCGCAATTTGGCGATGTTCGTTGGTTTTGCCCCCCTTTCAAATTTATTTTTTTTCAATTTAATTAAACTGGTCAAAAAATAATTTTATAATGTCGTGTTTTTCTAATTTTTGACATTGTTAAAAAGTAAACAAATTTTTTGAGTGGACTGTTTTATTGGATATATTTATTTTTAGAAATAATTCATGTCAAAGAATAATTAAATAAATTTTTATATTATTAAAGAATAATTTTTAGTATACTTTACAATATAACTAAAGGTATATTTCAATTAAATATTATTATAATAAAATTATTTTATATGAACAATCACGCAAGAAACCAAAAAAGAAAAAGAAAAATCACAACTAAGGACCTCTATTGCATCTTATTCCTCCAAAAGGACCAAAAGAATTTCAAAATGATTTTGTAGGATCAAGGGATTAAAATATAATTAAAATTTAATATAGAAGGAAAAAATACTCCACATTTATTTGATTGAACATGAATGATTTTATTGGATATATTATTGATGATGTGATCCATCTAATCTATATAAAAATTTCTTTACACATACTAACTACACTTTCAAGAAATCTACTTTTACCATTAATAGGTGTTATAATTAGAAATTTTCATGGGATGGAAAATAATTGAGACACCTCTATCCTGTAATTCATCTCAAAAAATGATTGAGAATAAACTTTTACCTTATTATATTTCAAAAGTTATCATGTCTTGTTAAAAATTAGAATGGAATTGTAACAAACAAGTTTTAAAACTCAGATTGACTATCATCCATTAAAAAAAATGAGCTAGTTCAAACATTTACCTCGTGTCAAGTTGGCTTGCCTTGGACCGGGCAATTTTTAACCTCAAGTTTGTGGGTCAAAACAGGTCAAATAAGGGGTAAAATTAGCATTTTAAAAATTTTAAACCCTTCATTTTCTGAGGCGGTTGATCGTCTTGCTTCCCACTCTTACTTATCTCACTTTGTCTCGTGTCTCTCAATTCTGTGTCTCGCGCGAAGAACGGAGTCGGACGACGGCGTCTTCTTCATTCTCAGCGTCGACTTTCTTTTTCATTCTTCATCTTCTTTCCTACAAGAGTTGCCCGGTGGGATTTTCTTATAGTCTCATTTATTTATCTCTCTCCCCAAATTAACCTAATCTCCATCCGTAGTCCTACTCCTTTCCTTATTCAAATGGGACCTTGCTTCTGGGGCTTTTCTTCATATAAGCACTTGTCTGGTTTTGTGCAACGAGGAGGCGAAAAAGAAAATATGCCCTGTTTCTATTTGGGAATCCCTCCTTTCTCTGTATCTCCCGTGGATTTTGGGTTATAGTTATAATAAGTTAGGGCCCTGAGCCTTCACATGTCTTCCCTGATTCAATCTTTTGTCTAGTAATCCATGCTTTAGAATTATCATTTACAACGCTGATTGTAGGTTTTGTTTTATTCTGTGTCTTTCCAGCTAAATTAGAACAGGCTCAATTTAAGTTAAGGGAGGTAGAGGATGATTTGGGCAAAACACTGGGAGGTACATCTTTACTCACGCTTTACATCTATATATTGATGGATTTTAATTTGAATTGCTTTGGATTAAACAGCATAATTTCATTATCGCAAAATATTTGAACATGATCGCTTTTTGCATTTTTACACAGTGAAGACTCGCAATGAGGCCAAGTGTATTTCTCTGATGGATGCTATTGATTCCACAAACACTAGGGTTGAAGATATGAAGGATATGAAGAATAGTGTTCAGGAGCAAAGAACCATGAATTGTGAATATGCTGCAATTTTATCTCAGCATATTGTAGTGTTTTTGTTGCATGAATGACTTGGGGCGACGTTGAATTGTTGTATTTTATTTCTTGTTTATATATATATATATATATTATTTTTATTTAATTATTATGCTATATGTTTGACTAGTTTAACTATAAGACTTATGACTTATTGATATTTTTTGTTGGTTTGAGTTTTAAAACATTAACAAGATTAGGACACCCCAACAAAGCAAGTAATGTAGGAGAAAGATCTGGATAGCATTATTTATTAAAATATTAAATTACATAATTTGTTAAATTTAAAATCAAAACAATACCATTACATAAGTTACAATAATTTAAAGTTGATTATTGAGTTATATCAATTACAATTATAAATGTATAATTTAAAGTTAAATATATATATATATATATATGAAATATAAAACATCATAACAGTAATTACAAGTGACCTTGTAAAAAAAAAATTTACCTTATATTTTTTGTTTTGTGTCATTAAAATTATTAGTATTAAGAATTTTTAGTTTGAATAGGGATTCCAAATGTTGAAATAATAATTAATATATTTTTAATATATATATATATATATATATTATTCGAGATGAGAAGGGACGCTTTGAAGATAATTTCATGTCCCGTGCTAAATCCTTCCTTGCCTTGTCCCACTTTTTTTGAGCAAAGAAAGACCCATCTCCTATATGATTAAGACGAAATCTGGCAAACTGAGATAAATATAAGTTTAAACACTTCTAATTACAACATCATGTGAGGTGGTTATTCGATATTAGAGTATTTATTTGTTTTGTTGGTTGTTTTTTCTTGGTTTTTCTTAATTGATTGTTTGATCTTTGTATTCACCCAATAGTTAAATTTAATTAATAAATTAATTTAAAATTGTAAATAAAATTAAAAAATTGAATTCTTCAAAAAAAAATTATGATACTCAAAGTCAATTTATCACATTAATGTATCAAAAAAACAATCTTATAGAATCATTTGATACTCATAATGATATAAGCCAATATGTAGCTGCAATGCTAACTATCCAATGAACACATTAATTGCCCTCTCACAAAGTATATTGACATTTAACATCTCAATTTCTACCAGCAAGTCTCTGGTATACGCTCACGTTGTGATTGGAACATGTTCACCTTATGGCTGTCTAGGCTGTTAATGACAAAAAGTAAATCACTTTCTACAATGTCCCGTCAATGTCAACGTTCCCAACACATCCTTAATTTATCTGTATCTAACACAGGCCACAGCTTCGCAGGCACAACATCTGTTATTTCAAGGCTACGTGCAAATCCAGCCACCCAACTGCCTTCGTCCCTTACCGCGCACCACCGCCCCAGCGACCCAACCTTTTGGAGGTAAACACCATCCAACGACCAACATGAATAATTTCTGTATTTTGGATTGGAGCTCGTCACTTCCCATCTAAGGGCTTGTTGGGTTTATGCAAATCACTTTTTTTTTTAATACATATGCAAAGTACTTTTTTTTTATGCATGACCGAATTAGATGTCTTCATTTCATTCAGGTCTCATAAAAAAAGTTGTGTATTTTTCCATCTCCGGATGACTCAAGGAACTATGACAAAGTTTGCAGGTCAATCATTGTCACCCGCTATTCTAAATGCATTGTGCAAATTTTAAAATAATCACTTGTAAATTTATGAATAATTTTAATTGTAAATTAATGATTTAAGCATTATTTTCTTTTTCTAAATATTCATTCATAATTGACTTTTCATAAATTTATAAATGATTTAAAAAACTTACACTTGCAAGTGATTATCTTTAATTTATGAGTGATTACATATAAATTCATGAAATTATCTATTCATCTATAATTGACTTTATGTTAATTCATGAGTGACCATTTTTAAATTCATAGCTATTTTTTTTCAAATTCATTAATGACTTTTTACTGGCTGTTTTTTATGAGACTATTCATTTATTTACAGTTAACTTTTATATGTTTCACATTTAATCTTTACAAGTGAACTTTCTTAAATTCACAAAACTTCCTTAAATTCATGAGTATTCTATTGAACTATTTATTTATTCACAATCGACTTTTTTTATATTTAATTTACAAATGACCATCCTAAAATGCATAAGTAACTTCCTTAAACTTACAAGTGACAGTGTATAAATTTGTGAGATTATTGATCCATTGATTTACATATGACATTCCTTAATTTCACAAGTCACATTTCCTCACACTCCCTCTCCGTCTCCCCTCCCTCCCTCCCTCTTGCTCTCCCTCACCTCAACATGGTCATCCGCCTCTGATAGCAAATGTTTTGACATAGAGATATATGCTTTCAGCACCAGATTCATGAGATTTTTCTCTTCCATTTTTGTTCATTTTTATGATGCTTTTTTTTATGACATGCAGTCAAAGAATGGATTTGCTTTCCTCACCCAATTTTTCCTTCCAAAAAAACAATTTCCCCTATGGAGTCAATGAATTTCTCTGACGTTTTCACAACCCCATTTAAAAAATTACTATTGGAATTCGGTTTTTAGAATCCACCACTCATACTCTAGCCAATTTTCGTTCTTTGTCGCTCTCTCAGTCTCGCCCACAAAGCCTTCTCTCTTATTTCTCTATCTAACTTCAATGACTTCCTCATGTCTTTGCTCTCCCAAATTTCTAGTCTTCCTCGTGCTAAAGAGAGTGCGGCAATTGGGATGATCAAAATCGATGTTTCGTCCGGACTTTCTTTGAAGAAGGAATCGGTCAAATTCCAGTGATGGGAGTGAAACGCAAGGCATTCGAGGAGATACTAGCGGTCAAAGACGCTGATTTGACTAGTAGAGGAATTGACAGAGGTCTGTGACTTCATTCTACATCTGCAATTTTTCAGATCGGTGAAGGTACTTCTTTCTAGATCCGTGATGGAGATCTGCAATTGTTCCAGAGATGGAGCAGACCCAAAGGAGGGAGTGGCAAAGAGAGAGAGGGTGGGGAGAGTTTGCCCACACCAATGATTAAATAACCATTTTGAGGATTGAATTGGGTTGGGCTATTTTAAACCAACAGTCGTATTTTGAATTAGAATTAAGTCGAGAATCGAATTCAATTTTTAAAAACTAGATTGTTAAAAAAAATTATCTTTTTTAGTTTTTTATCAAATTTTTTTTAGAAAATGATCAATTTTTTTAATCATTTGATGTTGTGTTATATCATGTGGCTTGTTGAGTTATGATAATTTTAAAATATTTAGTTTTATTTTTAAGTTAAGTGAAAATTTTATATTTATTTCTTATATTTAGATCATTATATACATATATAATTTTTTAATTTAATTATTACGTCATCGATTTGAATATTGGTCCAACTCGATTGAACCATACGAACAGTGAATCGTTGACCTTTCCAACTCAATATTTGATCCGATTTTGAAAACATTGGCCTACACATAACAAACACTTGTTTAAAATTAATTATAGGGGTTACATTGTTTCAAGTTTAAATGTCTAGGGTTTAAAGTATACCAAATACAAGTTTAAGGTTCAAATTACTCATAAGCCTGTAGTTTAGAGCCGTGTTGCCATTTAATCTTAAAGACAAAGAGAAAGTGAAGACCAAAGCATAGAGAAGGATTACTTTATTGAGTTAACAATTCAACCAAGGTCATATAACAACCTAGGGAAATTTAATTTTAATTAACTAAGCTTAATTATGATAATTAAGTAATTTGATGTGATGCGTGACCAAAGAGGTCTAACGAGCTTGTTTGGTTGCTACTTTCAACTCTAAATGAGTCCGAGATGAAGTTAGGTTATCCAGGTGTGAAAAGGAAGAAAAGTTAAGATAGTTGTTTTGTGCCATATGCCACGACGCATGTGTGTTAATCAGTGAAAGAGAGATCTCATTGTACCATGTGCCACAGTGTATGTTGTGTCTGTCGTGGTGCATTGTTAAATTTTCTAATAAAAACACGCAAAACGTACTAAAATCAAAAGAGGAAGAAATAGAAAACAAAGAGAAAGCAAAAACCTTTGCTAGGGCTTGCTTCATTGAAGTTTGTAAAGTAATTCTAAGCCATCCTATGCCTAAGGTAAGATCTATAAGCTTCCTTCTTCCTTTCTCTTCCATTTTCTTGAAGAGTTAAGTTAAAATTTGAGTTAAAATGATGATTTTTGATCCATATAAATTACTTTGTGTGTGAGTTTGAAAGGTTGGTTAAAGTGTGAAAATTATTTGAATAAGAATATTGATGGTTATCCTTGTGTTTGAATTGTAGATTAAGTAAATTTGGTAACATTCAAGCTATCAGGAAACTTTGAAAGTTTATGTTCTAAGGGATAAATTTTTAACCTCTCAAAGATTTGAGATAACTAGGAGAAGATTTAATTTGTATAATTGCTTATTAATTAATTAATTCCTGAACTAAAGTGTTTGGAACTTTTTTTTTTCGATACAAGGAACTTATTATTATTTTAAATTCATATTCAATGCAAAGATTGGCAAGTCATTGTGATATGCATGAAAATATGTTAGTGAAATGACAAAATGTGACACTTATTTTTTCATGCATTAATCATGCTAGTCAATAGAAACATACATATGTAAATGTATCATCATGAATATCATGAGATTTGTTATATTTGATGAGATTTATGGAGTATGGATATGGATTTGTGGTGAATGCGATGCTCAATGATGATTATATATAATTGTGCATAATGTGTTAATGTGTGTATGGTATGATCATTAAGGCAAGGGTTCGCCTATAAGGAGATGAGTATATTGATAAACTCATGTGGTAATGATGGCTTACTATTGGAATCAAAAGCTTGTCTTGGTATTGAATGTTGAAATTGAGAGATTGTCATTGTCCCATGATTGATTAGGAACTGTCTCACTTATTTTTTGAAAAACTCAAACATAACTAATCCCCATCGATTCATAAAGACACTAGATTAAGGGTATGACACTTCATGATTGTAAATATTAAAAAAACTGTGAATCACAACTGAGTGAGGTAGCTTTGGCTAAGCAGCTTCTCACAAGTGAGGTAGTTTGAGTCATGGACATAGCTACTCAAAAGCCACCAATGTTATGTCGGAGGTATTAGGAGGGTATAAGGTTGGCATTGATCATATATTTCATTTTTCAACTATATGATTGTCATTATTATGGTTCATTGTGTTTTATTAGGAGTGCATGGTTGTTATTATTGTGACCCTATGTATGCATTATTGATATATGTGATAAAATTTGTTTGTATTCACCCACATGGTTGTTAATATTGTGGTCGAGGCAAGCTTTGAGTTATGCATAAACTGATTTTGAAAAAAATGTTAATTGTCATTTGCTTCTATGATTAATTGATATGCAATTCTATAGATTAAATTAACCTTAGTTATTGAGTGGTTGTACTCATCCCTCATTTCTCAATATTATAAGGCCTAACTCATTGGATCAAGATTAGGAAAAACGACTGGAGGCTTAGGATGTTGTGTAAATCTTACTAGTAGCCCTCATAGTTTACTTATGTATATTTTGTTTTGTTAATTATCAACTAGGTTATTATGTAATTTATTTTGACTACTTATATTATTATTGAGAAAAGTGATTAATTATATATTTTGTGTCTTAGGCTGTGTCTTGTGCTTAAAAGTTAATACAGAGTCAAAATACTAAGCAAAGAAAGGTGTGGATGAATGCATATTATGATTGGTATGCGAATCTATCTCCCCCTCATCTTTTAGCAGCATAAAACTGACCATACATGCCTCCAAGAAAGTTAAAAAAAAAAGAAAAAAACGTAGTTCTTGTGCAAGTGAAGTAGATAAATAAAATATAGTTTTTTCGATTTTGCTTTTTTTTAAAAAAAAAAATTGGATTTGAATTTTAGGTATATTAATTATGATTATTAGTATAAAAAAAAGTAAACAAGCAAATAAAATTAAAATTAAAATTACAACTTATGATCTATTTGTTACCCCAATAGCCTGCAATTGCAAATGCTGAAACTTGAAGACACCCTACCGCCCCTATCGAACACTGCCCCTTTGTTTACATTCACATCCGCGGTCGGAGCGGTTTTCATCGCCTTGGCTTTGGCTGATTTTACCCAATTCTCCCAGGCAATCCCTATGCTCCCGTGTTCCTGTTATTAGACATGCTACCCTAGTATCTATCGGTTATTGTCTCAATTTAAGAGGTGCAAATTTATATCTGTCTTTTATGCTGGATATATCCTCTAAATTTAACTATGTGTCGTCTGCAATTTCGACAAATACGGTGAAATCTCAGTTCACATTGCAAACTTAACTGGATTTAGCATTTTATATTGATATTGATCTTTTCAATACTTCGTTGGCTTGTTGTGAGAACATGTAATATTTCGATGTTTTTAATTCTTTTCCTTCTATGACGGAACCTTAGTATCGGGGTCAATTGTTTCGATGCTCGTTTATCTGGTTAACTCTTGCCTTCTCTTTTTCTTTTTTCTTTTTTTCCCAATAAAACAGTTCGGGCAATTTTTGGTTAGGCTTTATGCTGGATTGGTCTTAAATATTTCTGAAACTTGCCTAATCGTTAGAAGAGTATTGAAGTTATCGTTAGCTTCATGATGATCCAGATTCACTTTTGAGACCCTATGGATAACTTAAAAAGGCGCATCAATATACTTGGGATGCTTATATGAGTTACAATTTCCATGCTCTATTTCTTTGACAGCGACCACAGGTTTTGTGTTGATTGCCAGGCGTGTTATCAAATACCTGACTTAGGCAGAAAATGTTGAAGTTTGATCTTCACAGGTTACATTGCTTGTCGTCATTAGTGGCTGCTAATAATTATGGATTAAAATAAGAATTTGGCATACGAATGCTCTAAGTGGACAGAACATCAGAAATAAATACAAATTTGCTAGTCTATTCTAAATTCTGATCCATAGCAATAGAAGTTTATATCCTTATATGTCATTATATCTCGCACTTTGACTTTAAAGGGGATTACCCTTTATCTTTATTTTCTCCACTTATTGATCTGTTAGGCGTTGGCATTCAGGAGTATGTAAATTCTGTGGCATGGAAATAAAAAAGACAAGTCTGATGATTTGAATGTTGGTCATTCCATTCACTGAAAACTTCCTTGACAAAAAGAGGTTTACTGTCCATTGTGGAGAATGTTCAGCTTTCTGCAATTTCGTCAAGTGCTCAGGGAGATTCCAAAGGAGTTGTTGTTGGTTAGTTGTCGCTGGCTTGTCTCAAAATGTTATATGATTGATCATTTGTATCAGGATAGTTCTTTAAAGGATGCAGAATAATAAATTTCATGAACGATACATTCTTTTTTTGTCATAAGTGGTTGTTATTGTTCAATATTGCAGTCCCTAGTGCTGTCTGTGCTGCTCTTTAGTGTGTTTGGCTCAGGATAATGCTTATATCTACAAGAGTTATTCTCACCTCTCAAGTATATGACATGGAACATGGTCATTTTTATGGCTGGTCTTTCACGTTTAGGCTATGGACCGTGGTCTCTAGGGCCGGTTCTATCTGACAAATAGTCAAATAGAACAAAGGATTAGAAAACTTATCATATTGATGACTTTGTGTGTGCGCATGTCTATTCTATGATTTGCTTTTTCTTCTTTGCTTTTGAGGATATCTTATCCTCCTCTGTCTTTTTGCAATATTTCATTATTCCTGGGGTTCTTATAATATCTCTTCTGTTATAAAAAGTGAATAGATAAATAAATAACAATAAAAGCATAAAAATTAGTAAAAATAATTTTGTTTTTTGTCACAAAAAGGTGGTCACAACTGTCGTAGTCTGTAAATTGCTTTCTTCATCTTTTTTGGGAATTAGCTCGTTTGCCTTTTGGTAATTGCAGCCAGCACGTGGCCTATGTCTGTTTGAGGAGTAAAATTGCAGTATGGTCTAAAGTATTCAGTAGGCTGTAGGCTTTGGACTCCCTATGCACAAACACACACACACACGAAGTTGTCAGTAGGGGGAATATGATGATAAACCTGAGTAATTATCAGATCACATGGGTTCCAGGAGAGGGATTATGACCATGATGCTAATATTGATTGAGTATAATTGATGATTAACAACTTATATATGCCCTTGCCCTCTCCGGCTCCATTACTACAAGATCAGATATATGGTTGATTAGTTAACCACATTTTATATTCAAACTTTTATCTTTTATACTGCTGATTTATACAGGATGGTAATATTAATCTTAATCTTTAGCACATTGCAAATGTCAATTGAAAATCTAAACCATTTTGTCTTAGATCACTGATATAGGGTTGCTGAAAATTTTTTATTGAATGCTTTAAGTTTTAGGCTAAGACCTTTTGTGTAATGAAAGAATGTCATGTTATTATTTCATCTCTTGGTAAGAATGGTCACATACATTTTTGCTTATTACTTGGGTTGGATTAATAAAGTTAGAGTGGAAGGGTAAGCTAGAATGGGAGCAGACGAAGGGAAAACAAGGATAGAAGGAGGTTGAAGTATTGATATTTGTTGGTTTCACCTCCTTCTGTATAGTTGTCAATTAATATCTATTTAAAAATTTCTACCAAAGATAACCTTAAAAGCACCTATAGATGCAATATCATAGAAATGCACCTCAGTTATTTTTGTCATTACAGCTCCCTTTTGCTTCTGGGTCAATTAATGCTCCCCCTTTTCCCAAGTGGCAGGTAAAATTATGTTCAGAATAGTTGTAATCATCCTTACTTTTCTTCTACTTCCCTGTCTTTTTTTTGGAACCAAGCTTGCTATTTTATCAATCACTTATCCATACATATTTTGTGGGAAGTGCCTGTTTGCTAGCCGAATTACTATTAATCTCAATTTGTACAATTTGTTTCAACCTAATCTCATTAAAATTTATAGCATTGTCGCCCCTATTGTTTGACTTAATTTCTTAGAAAGTGAAGAATAATTTATATAAATCCTTTTAATAGGTTCGTTCAAGATTCAATGTGAAAAATAATGATGATGGTGATGATGATTTTTCAAAGAAATTTAAACCGAAGGGCTCAAACTTTCCTGGTTCTTCTGATGAGTTCTTTCTTAACAAGTAGAATTTTACAAAGATTGTCATCCTTCATGTTTTTCTTTCCATACACCAAGCCTGGATGATAAAGTGCCAAAGAGACCTCATGGGCATCAAGCTGCAATCACTTGTTCATCATCTTTATTCTAGAGAGAAGAGGGATGAAGATAACTGATTTGTAATAAATAAATGAATAAGAGTTAGTTTTAATGGGCGGTTAGGAGTTAATTGATTAGTGTCTGTAAAAGGAATAAGAAAGTCATTGTAATCAGGCTTATGAGTAATAATAATGGATTGAGTTCTCTCTGTCTCTCTCTTCCTCTCTCTGCGCCTCGTTTCTGTTTCAGTGTTCCTCTATGTCTCTCTTTTTTCCTCCTCTTCCTACTTTTGTTGGATAACTATAACACTAAAGGAAACATGTCTCCTCCTCCTTGAAACATGGCTTTTGAAGAGACTATCTACCAAAAGAATGAAATTTTTACGTATAGATAAATAGATAGATAAGGCTCCATTTTTTTTAAAAGAAATATGTTAACTTCTCATACATTATGGCAAAGTTTAATTGAGATTGTGGTGTGATTCTCTAATTCTTTTTAATCATGCTAGGTGACAGTGTAGCTTGGGAGCCTAAGCTCCATATTGATTATGTATTGTTGATTGTTTCCACACACTGGCAACTCGTTGGACTGGCTGATGGCTTTTTGTAATGAAGAAGAGAAAACTGAGGATTACCTTTTCAAGATTGTTTTGATTGGTGATTCAGCTGTTGGGAAATCAAATTTGCTTGCCAGATTTGCCAGGGATGAGTTTTATTCTAACTCAAAATCGACCATAGGAGTAGAGTTCCAAACTCAGAAGATGGATATCAATGGAAAGGAAATTAAAGCTCAAATTTGGGACACAGCTGGGCAGGAGAGGTTCAGAGCTGTTACATCTGCCTACTATAGGGGTGCAGTTGGAGCTCTTCTGGTGTATGATATTAGCAGGCGCCAAACATTTGACAGCATTGGTAGATGGCTTAATGAACTTCACAGTAAGAATTGCAGTTATCAATCTTGTTTTAACTTTTTTTAAGTCTCTGTCGCTAGTGTTATTATTTGTCCAGTTATACTGAAATCACTGACACAACGTTGAAACAGGGTTCTGGTTTTACTATATCAATGAAAGAATATAATAAATCCATTCAGCACAAGTAACCAGTTCTTAAAATATTTTGGGCATAGTCAGAAAACATTAATCAAAAGCAGGGGAGTGAAATGTACTGATGAATAGGAACAATAAGACCCAAGCTTCATTTCATTGCCCTCCGTTTCTTCAAGTCAATTTAAAAAAAAAAAATAAAGCAGATCACTCCATATACAAATTTCCATAAAATGGAGTGCCCTAATTGTCTCTGTAAATAAATTGAAAGGGCATATGTGAAATCCCTTCGGTTTTATGCATATTTTCTTTGCTTCAGCTTATTCTTAACTTGTCAAAATATTTATCAGATACAATGTTGTCAATCATTTATGCAAGTAGGAATTCAGAACTCTCACCAGCATCAAGACCTTCAATATGCAACTCCAGTGTCCTTCCTTTAGAACTCCTTAAGTTGCACCGAAAGCTTTCCTTGCAACTTGCTTGATAGCCAAATGGCAAAACTTGATAAAAGAAGCATATTCTGGGAAAAACTAGCTTAACTTTTTTGATCACATGGTCACTCATGCATATACACACAGAGAGAACATCAGCTTAACAATAATACTAACTTCCTAACTGAGCTGACCACCTATAACTAATTTAGTTACAGCTGTTGCCCCTGGCTCCATATCAATCATGCTTAGCCTAGATGTAAGTGAATGAAAGGGACCAGGTGCAAAAGGCTTGTTATATATATCTGCCAGCTGATCAGATGAGTTGAGAGGGAGTACATAAACAACCGTAGCTTGCTGTTTCACGTTAACTGAGTGGCAGTCAATCTCTATATGTTGTCATGAAAGGTAAGATTGGTTGAATTCTGTAGTGCTGATTGATTATCACATTGGAGAAGCGGAAGGTGAGAGTGAGGGACATGTGAATCAGCGAGAATATGGAGCAAGAACTGTATCTCACAAGCTTTGGATGTTAATGGCTTATTCTCCGCTTCCGACAATCTTGGGATGGCATACTGTTTCTTTGATATGGGAGCTTGATCCCAAAAATCACAAAACTCATAACCCACCTCATGGAATCAATGCAAGTTGCTCAATTAGAGTCACTGAATCCCTTCATCCATAGGTCAGACTTTGATGGAAAATACAAACCTTTTTTCCTGCAGATCACATGATGTATCTGAAAATTTGATGAGCTATTTGTTGGTGCAAGGCAATGAAAGGGACTAAGTGCCTAAGGGTTTGGTACTTTTATCTGCCAGCTGATCAAATGCGCTGAGAGCAAGCAGATAAACAACCTTTGCTTGCAGCTTCTTTCCAACCAAGTGGCAATTATTCTCTACATGCTTTATCCTTTCATGAAAGCTAGGATTGGCTGCTATGTGTTGTGCTGATCGATTAGCACAGTAGAGAAAGTGCAGGGTGAGAGCGAAGGACGTTTAAATTAGCAAGAGCAACCGCCATGTCTCACGTGTACTAAATGCTAATGCCTTGTACTTATCTCCATAAGATCTTGAGATAGGATACTGCTTCTTTGACCTCCAAGATATGAGGGCTTGATCCAAAAAGACAATCGTGTAACTAGCCTACTGGTATCAATGCAAGTTGACCAATCAGAGTCACTGATTCCCTTCATGTCTCTGACATTGATGGAAAATGCAAAGGCGGCTCGTGCTTCTTTCACCATGAGCAGTATTCCCCTCATGGTGCCATGCATAGCCTTCCTCACTTCACGGAGTTCCTCTAATACTTTCTTCATTAGAACCTTTTCTCTTTCAAATTCCACTGTCCATTTCCCACGGTCCAAATGAGGAAAAAAAAAACAAGAAGAAGAAGCTCTGATAGCATTGGCATGAAGAAAAGGAACAGAGAGATGGCGGGGAAAATAGAAGAGCCAATAGAGAAGATAGAAATAGATAGATAGGGTTGAGGGAGACGGCATAGAAGAATTCACTTCTGATTTTGGCAAATACTCTAACTACAAAACTACAAAAGCCATCCATAAGCCATGGTCAACCTTCTTATGTCACTAACTGCTCCAACTTTGCATGTTTTAGTTATCTCCTTATTCGTTCATGTTTCTACATGTATATTTATAAACCTTGCAATACAATGGTGTAGTATTAATTATGGAACAGGTGTCTGGTTCTTTGTTGCTGGCTCATTGTGGGCCCAGTTGTTTGTTCTGTTGCTGGCTTCAAAAAGATTTACTCAGTATTTGAGTTTTAGATGTGATGAAGAGGATTAAGTGGGTTTATCTATTATTTAACAGCTCATTCTGATATGAATGTTGTCACGATACTTGTTGGGAACAAGTCAGATCTCAAGGAGGCCAGGGAGGTGTCTACTGCTGAAGGCAAGGCCTTGGCTGAGGCGGAGGGTTTGTTCTTCATGGAGACATCAGCCCTTGATTCATTAAATGTAGCTGCTGCTTTCCAGACAGTTGTGAAGGAGATCTACAACATTTTAAGTCGAAAGGTTATGAAATCTCAAGAGCTGCAGAAACAAGATGCTGCCGTTATTGGGAATGGAAAGACTCTTGTTCTGCAAGGGGAAGAGAACTCAGAAGTAGTTGTGGAGTCGAAGAAGGGTTGTTGTTCGTCCTAACGTTTGCATTGGAGGTTCAAGTCAAGACTCCACTTGGCTCTTCCTTACCCCCTTTTTTAGTTAATATGACTATTCAATGAACGATGAATATGCAATTTTAGTTATTAGCACTGAAGACTGAGAGGAGTAGAAATTGTAAATGGCGTGAAGAACAGTTACAGAAATGACAGGTCTTGAGGTAATTTGATTTTTTTTTCCCCAGAAACAAAAGATGAATCCGATGTTTGACAACATTCTTTTATGTTGCTTTCTGGTGTTTCAAAATGTTAGTCAGATTTTTTAGAAGTGTTCTAATTATAAATAGTAATAATACTATATAAACATATTTTTTAGTAAATTATGTAGACTCTTTACTCTTGTTGAAATTTGGATGGTCTTTTTAAAATATTTTTGAAATATATAGAAACTTCCTTTTTAAATAAAATAATTTGCTGTACTTTAGCCTAACTTTAATCATTTTATTAAAATGAATTCTCTCATTTTGAATTTATTTCTTATTAAAGTATTTTCATTTTAACTTGAATCTGAAGGGACAAAATTTGTATACTTCACTTTATATAGTAGTTAGCATCCAATTCACCAATTATATAATAACATGTAAAATATATTTTACCCATCATTTGTCTACTTGCTAATTTCCACTTGACACTGTTAGGGGATGGAAAAGGTGATATTAATTTTTTTAAAACTAAAATCTTGGAAATCCCTGATTCCCATCCCAAAAATCCCTAATTCCTGTCTCGCTTAGATTTATATTATGGGCAAAGTGAATCTGTTGACATTCTCTATATGCACAATTTTTGCAATAAGGTTGCACAAAGGATTAAATGGGACTGGATTTTAGTTTTACCAGAAGTTTGTTCTCTTACATAAAAAGGCTTGAGTTAGGCAACCTACAGCCCGATTTGGTTCAATAATAATCTAAAGATTAACAAGATTAGACTTGGTTCATAGGATTAAGAGATTGGTTGTATTAGTCCGGTACTCACTTATCTTTTTTTTTTTCTCTATAAGAGGCTATAATCCATTTCAACTTAATATAAATTCAATTAAAATAATAAAAACGTTTACAATCATAATCAATCTATAATAATTTTCAACAATAAAAAAAATATTTCAATTGCAATCCAAGTAATTTAAATTATTAAATTATTAGTCTGAAGGTATGATTGTGCCAAAAACCAGATTTATTAAATTATTAATAGTCTTAACTTATTATTACAAGTAATTAGTAAATTAATTATAATTATATTAAATAAATTTAAAAAAACCAAACTGGACCAAGTGGTCTAGATGCCCGTCTCCTATCCAATCCAACTCAAATAAATAGTCCAATCTTTTTAATCTTTTCAATCCTAAAGGATTAGCTTTTAATAAGACCAGCCCAAGATTGTACCTTCTTAGATTAGATTGAGTTGACTAAAATTAAAAGATTTCTGTACTGTCTCAGTTTGCAATAGTTTTAGAATATGAAAATTGACCCCAAAGATCTATTCCAACAGGAGCATTTACAAAACGAATGCCATTGAGGAGTCTTGAATGCATGATATTTTTTATCGCATTAGTGAGATCCAATAGCATTTGGATTCGTTTGTGTGATGAAAATTCCTTTTCCTAATCAGCCAATCACCACTTGCTTGACTGGAAGATGGGTGGTTGAATAGTGAGAAAAGAGGTGAGATAAGTTTAAATGATGTGATGAGAGCTGAAAATGAAAATTGCATATTTTTAAGATTTTAAGTCTAACTTAAATTATATCAACTGTCTTAAGTGAGAGTTAGTTACTAGATTGGTGATTGGATGAATTGGATGTTAGCTAAGATATGGATGAATTGGCAATTAAAAAGATGACAACGACGACGACGAATTGGATGTTAACTAAGATTATAGTAAGCATGCAAGTTTCCTCCAATATAAAATAATATATAATCTTCAGACATGCTTTAACTAATAAAGATAAATTGAGCATATTTATTTTAATTAAATATATCAAATTATCTATTAAAATTTAAAAGGTAGTATTTTAATTAAAAAACTTAAAAAAATTATATTAAAGGTTTTTTGTTTTTGTTTTAGAGGATGTCAGATATATTCTGAAACTGAAAAAAAGAGTTTTTTCCTTAAAAAATAATTTCAATCCTTTTTAACACATGGCATCCTGTAACAATTTGAATGAGACATTTAGAATGATTTGTCATTGCGTGTATAATCACTAAATTAGAATATTGTTTGAATCGATCAAACTATATTCATATCATTTTTATTAAGAGAAAGTTGAGAATAAAGACTTAATGATAAAGATATTTGAGAAAAAAGATATAGAATTCTCTAGCCAAAAACACGAGAAAAAATGCATACAACGCAAGCTAAAATGCGGAACATGGAAGACAGGCTGTGATTTTTTTCAATGCAACTAGTCTTTCATGTTCAGTATTTTAGGTTGTGTTTCAAGCACTTTTTCTTCTCTGTTTTTGGTTGAAAAATTCTAAATCCTTTTTCCCCATACATCTTTATCATTAGGTTTTTATTCCCAATTTTTCCTTTTATTAACCACTAAATAGAGCTATCAATAAAAGGCAGGTCTAGTGGATTATCCTTTTAGACCTAATATTTTTTGAAAGTTGAATTTGAGAAAGTACGAGATTTTATTGTAAAAGGACTTTTATACATTGCCATTAAGTACTCAATCTCAGTCTAGCCTTAAGCTTTTATAACTTTTTTTAACTTAATTTATATAATTTATTTAAAGTTTTGAATTAATATATGAGAATAATATAATTTTTTTAAACATTTATTCAAAGTGATAAAAATGAAGTTAGTGATGAAGTTGAAATAACACCACTTCTTTCAAATAAACTACCATATGAAGAAGCTTTTTAAATGAAGATGGATGATAATAATAACTAAAAAAACTTTTTCATTTTATATATTTAATTAAGGTATTTTGTAATTTTGTATATGTATTAGTATAATTAAAAAAGTTATGCAGGCTTTCAATCACGGCCTTAAACCCTATCAACAAGAATTGTACTCAATTGAGTTTCTAAATTCCATTACAAGCTCAGATTTGCCTCCACACAAGTTGATCTTGAAAGTTGGTGCTTCAATAATACTTCTTAGAAATATTAATTAAACTTTTGGATTATGCAATGGCACTAGGTTGAGGAAAACTAGGCTTAGCTCAAGTGTTATTGAAGTGATCACTTTGGATGGGTCAAAGCCCAATGAAAAGGTACTAATTCATATGATGGATATGAATCCTTTAAAGAATAGGTGGTCATTTCAAATGCAAAGAGACAATTCTTTGTTAATCTTTCATTTGCCATGATAATCAATAAAAGTCAAGGCCAATCTCTAAAACATGTTGGTCTATATCTTCCTAAACCAGTATTCACTCATTATCAATTATATGTTGTACTTTCTAGAGTTAAAAATATGAAAAAATTGAAGATTCTTGTACATGGCAATGATAATCTACCAAAGTTAGCAATTGCAAATGTTGTGTACCAGAGATTTGTTATCATTTGGATCGTATTTGATTGTGCTGATCCATAGATTGTTATGGTTGAATTTATTAGTTGTCAATCAATTTTGTTGTATGTGCATTAAGAGCCTGTTTGGAAACACCTGAAAAATCGATTTTAGCCACAAAATCATGGTTTTGATAATTTTTACCCAAACACCCCACGTTTCCAAAATTTCATTTAACTTCCCAAACTCCATTTCAGTGAAGCAGATTTTTGTTCCATTCTCAAAATCAATTATGACCGTTAGCATTTATTGTAGTCTGATGGTAGATAAAAAATTAAACTTTCTTTCCTACCCTTCTCCAACCCTCACGTGATCTTTTTGACTCCTAAACCCTGAGCTTTTGAACTGCAAAACTTCTTCGTCTTCTCCCTCAGAGCTCCAGATCGTGAATAATGGCGTCTCATGAGTGGCGGCTTGCGGAGCTTCTTCTTCACTTCAGTTTGATGTGAACGGCCTTCCTTCGGTGCTTTTGTCCAAGTTCGAGCTCCTTCCTTACCCTTGTTTTTCATCCTCAATCGTTCTTCATCCTCGATCTGGACAAGATCTCCAGATCGTGAGTGGCGTCTCATAAGTGGCGGCCTGCAGAGCATCTTCTTCACTGTAGTTTGATGTGAACGGCCTTCCTTCGGTGCTTTTGTCCAAGTTCGAGCTCCTTCCTCACTCTCGTTCTTCATCGTCGATCTCCTCCCTCCAGCTTCGATCTCCTTCCTCCAGTGCTTCTCTGTCGAACTTCGACTCTACCTCCGACATCCGGTCTGTCCTCCCCTGTTTTAGGTGTTCTTTTATATCCTCTGCAAGGTATGATTTTTGTTGTGCTCTTTTTGTCTCCTCCGACCTGTACATGCGATTTCTCTGTGTCTATGTTTTTTTTTATTTTTGAATCTTCGACTTCCGACCTCTGCACAATATGCTTTCTGTTAAGGAGATGATGAAACAAAAATAAAAAAAAATTGGACAGGAGACGATGAACAGAATATTTGGCCTTTTTTATTTTTTTATTTTTGTGAACTGAACTGTTAATAATACCGAGCCTTCACGTTTTTATGTTCGTCAAATTCATCTTTCATATATGTTTTCGGATTTTCATATATGTTTTCGGATAATTTTTTTGATAATCCTCAACATGCTTACTATACGGTTGCTGGATAATTTTTGATTTGTGATATGCTGAAATTGATTTTTATATAGTACAATGACTAAGGATAAATCGAAAGCCTCATGGGATATGAGGAGCACTAAGATTTTTATTGACTTATGCTTGGACTAAGTGCACAAGAAGCAGAGAAATGGTGGTAGCTTTAGCAAAGCAGGCTGGATAAATATAGAAACTACCTTCAATAGTAAGACTGGAAGAAAATATGATAAGCAACAATTCAAAAACAAATGGGATAATTTGAGAAAGGAATGGAAAGACTGGAATAGATTGATTCTGAGTGAGACTGGGCTGGGATGGAATCATGAAAAGAACACAGTAGATGCTCCGGATGATTGGTGGGAGAAAAAGATATCGGTATGACATTGTTATGTGAGGTTATATATTTATTTTCTTTATTCATGTGTATTGTGTAATATTATCAGTAATATATGTGCAGGAAGATCCAACATATGAAAAATTTTGATATAAAGGATTATCTTTTGCAAATGAATTATGTGAATTGTTTCAAGATACAGCAGCCACAGGAGGCAGATCATGGGCTCCATCAAGTAAAGCCCTCCCTTATCAATATCATAGGGTTGAAGATGAGGAAGAAGATGAGTATCGCCCATATATGGAACAACGAGGTGTAGATCTTGAAGAAGGTTCAGGGGACAGTGATGAAATTTTAGGAGTTGCTACTGGAGTAAGTGGTGAGTTCCAAAGAGTAATTCTAAATACTTCACAGGGAATCTATAGTGAAGGTAATGGGAAGGAATTGGGAACCACAAGTGGTGGTAGTGGGAAGAGGAAGAGGGTTGAATGCAATAGTAAGAGAAAGAAAAAAATGACCACCTCAAAAGTAATAGCTGATGCAATCAGTAAAATAGCCAGTGTATCAGAGACAGAAGCAACTCATGTAAATGGAACATCAATAGCTGAAGTTATGCAACATGTTGATGCAATTGATGAAATCAGAAATGACTATGATCTGTATGCACGGTGTATTTCACTCCTCATGGACCAGACTGCAAGGGAAATGTTTACTGAGATGAGGAAAACTAATATGGGGGCTTGCATTGCATGGTTAAGATATCAATCTTTTAAAAATGGATGATTATGAGGTGTATTAAAACTTGTTATTAACTTGTTAACTTAGTTATATTAGCTTGATTTCCTAGTATTGTAACTTTGTTATATTAGCTTGACTTTTTGGTATTGTAACTTAGTTATATTAGCTTGACTTCATGGTATTGTAATGATTTTTCCTGACTCTATGGTATTGTAAAGCTTTTTGTTGACATATGATATTTGACTTCATGGATGATTATGATGATTTTATAAATGATTATGCATTTACTGTTGCTTATCACTTATTCGACTTCATGAACAGTATTATTGATAAAGTGTACATGTAAATATGTATTTGACTACAGGTACAAAGAACTATGGCAGAGTCATACAAACAACGATTAAAAAGAGCTCAAAAAATTAGTGCCATAGTTGGTTTATATGTAGTAAAACATTTGTGCAAGGAGCCTCGAAGAAATAGTGAGTACACAGGTCAATGTTGGGTTAATGAGATTTTAGAAGGGCATCCAATTCGTTGCTATGAAATGTTTAGAATGGAAAAACAAGTGTTTGATCAACTATGTATTGAAATGGTAAGGTGTGGATTGAAAGAAACTAGGCGAATGGGGGTCCAAGAAATGGTTGCAATATTTTTAAATACGCTTGCACATGGGTTAGGAAATAGGATGGCACAAGAAAGGTTTCAACGCTCAGGAGAAACTATTAGCAGGCACTTTCATGATGTTTTATCAGCTTGTAATATGCTTGCAATGGAATGTATCAAGCCACAAGATCGAACATTTCGTCATATATCAACAAAATTGCAAAATGATAAACGATATTGGCCTTTTTTTAAAAATGCAATTGGAGCAATTGATGGTACACATATTCCATGTGTGGTCAATGTTAGTGAACAACAAAAATATATTGGAAGAAAAGGAATTCCAACACAAAACGTAATGGCGGTTTGTGATTGGGACATGTGTTTCACATTTGTCTTGGCTGGATGGGAGGGTACTGCACATGACTCTCGCATATTTCAACATGCTCTCACAACTCCTTCAATGAACTTCCCACATCCACCTTCAGGTATATTTATTTTTTAAAAAAATTTAGTTATCTTAGACTTAAAATTACAAACATGTCAATTAATCTTGTTTTTTTATAAGGTAAATATTATTTGGTGGATGCTGGCTATCCAAACCCAAATGGATATGTTGGACCGTATAGACGTGAGCGCTATCATCTTTCTGATTTTAGGAGGTCATCTTCATTTGCAAATAATAATGAGGTCTTCAATTATTATCATTCAAGTTTAAGGTGCACCATAGAAAGAACTTTTGGGGTTTGGAAGAATAGATTTGCAATTTTACGCCATATGCCTAACTATGATTATGATACACAAGTTCAAATTGTTGTTGCAACAATGGCAATACATAATTTCATTAGAAAACAGTCTGATTCTGATTATGAATTTATGCGTCATGAAACAGAAGACCACATAGAGCATGAAGATAATGATCATGTTGATGACTATTCATCCTTGCCTTCATCTACAACATCCTCATCAGATATGGCTCATCTTCGTGATGTTATTAGAGATCAGATAGTTTATTATCTCCCAAGTCATTAGTTGTTGTAAACTAGATGTTTAATATTTAAGATTTGTATTTGTCTCTTTTATTAAATTTACTTTAAGTTAGATACATTGATTTATATTTTTGCATGGATTCATTTTATCAATATTACATTAAAAAAATTGATAAAAAATTATTACATTATAAAAATAAATGTCCTTTATTGTAATTTATTCATTCAAAATTGATTCTGAAAAAATTATCCAAACACCTTCAATTTTATCAAAATCAATTTTTAAAAATTTATCCAAACACCACCACGTTCTGATAATCAATTTTTTCTATAATCAATTTTTCAAATTGAAATCCAAACGGGCCCTAAATGTAATGCCAAAATCAAATACACTTATTTAGCTCATGTAACCTTTTTTTTTTTTTAAGTGTTTAACATTCTACTGAATTTCTTTTGTAGGATATAATGCTTACCGTGCAACGCACGGGAGTAACTGCTAGTTGAGCATAAAGAAGTTGTTGATGGTTGAGTAACAAGGCTTATTGAGTTAGGCTTACAAGGGTGTCAATCTTTATTGACAACCCTACTGCTAAGTGACCAAGGATGGACATGACACTGCACATTCCATAGTATGTAGGATCTAGATATCCGCCTACCAATTCATTTCCTTTCCTTACAATCTGCATTGTGATTCCGTGGTCATATTGCTTTGGGACAGCGGGAGGGAAGAAAAAAAGTAGACAGATTTTGGGAGCCAAAACCTCATTGAAATGGAAGTAGACAAAAAGGCGTTGTTACGCATGAGGAGAAATTATCATGACATCTATTGAGAAAATGTTCAAAATCATTTAAAATAGTTTAGACATGTGCAGAAAATATCAAGGGAGACAACAATTAAAAAAAGTTGGTTAAATGATTCTTAGCCTTGTGAAAAATAATAGAAGAAATTAAATAAGAACACCAAAAAATTATTAATTGGAATTTATTGATTATATATCTAAAAAGTTGGTTGTTGATATAGTATACAATCGATACAGTCATGGGAAAAAAATATGAAATCTTCCACGAAAAGAGAAAAGCAGTGACCCTCTTGAATGTTTCGGCTAATCGACGACCATGAGATTATCACATCAGGTTGGTGCCAATACTCCCAAAGCTAATAATTACTAACGTCAAAGCATGGCTTGGTGGGGGGAAAGAAAAGAAAAGGGAAAAAAAAAAAAATCATTCATGGGCAACACGAATAACTTGCTTACCAACATTCTTGCCGGCAAAAAGTCCAGCAAAAGCAGCAGGAGCACTAGCCAGACCTTCACTGACGTCTTCAACGTACACAATCTTGCCTTGTTTGTAGTAACATATAACATGTTCCAAAAAGCGTGGGTACAAGTGCAAGTAATCACTTTGCAGAAAACCCTGCATCCTGATGCGCCTCGTTATAAGATTGAACAAATTGTGAATCCCCTTGGGATTAGAGAGGCTATGCTGAGACACCATCCCACAGACGGCAATCCTACCGTGAATTCTCATGTTAAGGAGAGCTGCATCAAGTATTTCGCCGCCGACATTATCAAAGTATATATCAATGCCTTGTGGGAAATACCTGTCAGGCGGGCAAAGAAAACAAAAGGCATGTCCTTCAGTTTCCAGAGTGGAAAGTTTGTACAAGGAACATTATTTCTTTCCATTAAAAGGGGGGAAAACTGCGGGTGTTGGTGGAATCTTATTGCCTATTTTACGACCATATATTAGTAAGTATCCAAGAATTTTTCATCATCATTTTGGAACTCACCTTTTTAAAGCTGCATTCAAGTCTAGTTCTTCTTTGTAGTTAAATGCTTCATCGAATCCAAGTTTATTTTTCAAAAGATCGACCTAAAAGGACATTAAACGGGAAAATGTGTTATTTTGAACATGATGGGCAAAAAAGTAGTATCGATTCAAAGAATAATTAGCAAAACTGACTTTCTGGTTTGAGCCAGCACTTCCAACGACATAGCACCCATGCAACTTAGCAAGTTGGCCCACAAGCTGACCGACTGCACCTGAAGCTGCTGATACAAAAACATGCTCTCCCCTGCCGGGGGAGCAGACCTCATAGAATCCTGCATAAGCAGTAAAACCTGGCATACCTACATAATTGAAAAGATGAAATGACAGGTACACTAGTTACCAAAACTGGTCAACTGGATCACTTGATGATGACATCTAAGGGAAATTATAGAACAAGTACGGGTGGGAGAATAGATGATTGCTCAGCAAGAAAAAGAGGGAATTCGCTATTCAAGGTCTTAAAAATGCAACCATAAAATAGATAATTGCACCCATAAGCAAATCTCAATCAACCAACTTGTATTTCTTCAGTCCAATAAAAAACCAACTTGTATTCCTGATAAAAGCAAAGAAAGAATGTGCAATGCTAAATTGCTTAGCCCGACAAGTCAATGACTTTACATTAAAAAGGCTTGAAAACTTCAAGAACTTAGATTATTAACTTAGGCTCTTGACCAACGTCAAAAATTCATATCTGGATGGCCAATTAAAATTTATTTTAAAGTAGAAAAGATAGAGCGAAGCAAGATACCATTAGTTGATTCAGTGGTTTAAAAGAATAAACACAGAATAAAGTAGAATACACATGCGTGCGTATGCATATGTAGCATGAAAGATAGGAAAATTATATATCCGAACTGAGCAAAAGAATCCAAAGGATTATAAGGCAGCAATATTAATTTATGTTAAAACCGAGGAGTGCCATACCAAGAAGACCCACATGGTACGAGAGTGGAATATCATCTAGCTGAATTTTTCTCAACTGCTCAGCCTTTTTTATCAAACTGTACTCTTCCCAGCCGGTCAAGCCCGAAATCACATCACCAGGCTTGAAACTTGGATCATCAGAATGTACAACTTTAGACACACCGAATCCTTCAACGACCTTCAACAAAACACATTAACACAGAGCAATTACCGGACAAAAATTCCCCAAAAAGAAAAGCTATATTCTTAGTAATGACTATAACTGATTATATCATAGTCGAGAACTCTAAGCAGACTGCTGTCGAAGGTCCAAAGAAAACGATAGAGAAGTTTATCATTGGAACCTTTCAAGTTTCAAGGAGAGAGTAATATCCCAGGCTGTTTTTGTTTGTCCTATATATCATGTATCCTTTTCTTTGTTAATTAGCTTGGCGTTGCGTACCGCGCATGCTAGATGCTTAGTAACCAACAGTGAGGACTCCGGAGGAATGCCAAAGCATTCCGGAATTCCGTTGAAAAACTTAAAGGAGTATAATAATGGAATCGAGAACTGCTACGTATTTTTCAAGAACCGGACGAACAAGCATTTTGATTCTCTGCCACCTGATCGGAGTAAGCGGTGAGCGCTGGAGAGAAGTTGTCCTGAAGAACAATGGGCTTTCTACTTTTCGTGACTTCGTGAAACGGTACTGGAATTATAGATAAGTTTCCAAAATTTAAAACTCATACATGGAGTGGGAGAATTAAGACGCACAACTAGTGGAGTCCTTCAAAGAATATACGTTGGTTTTAGAGCAATTACTGAGCCTCCAGAGATTAAAGGCGCGTCAAAAGAAAATGGATTTAGCAAACAAAGAGCCTTGAGAGGAATAGGAGGAAGAAAGACATACCCGACCAGGAACGAAGGGCGGAATATAGGATCCGTGGAAATCACGCATGCGACCCCGCATGTAAGGGTCGCAAGAGAGGTAGAGGTTCTTAACGAGAAGAGCTCCTGATCCTGAGGGAGACTTCAGCTCGACTTCTGAAACCTTGAGTTCCAGATCCGTCTCCTGAGGAGCTCGTTCTATGAAATCTTTAAATATGACCTGCTTGTTCTCCATTTTCGCCATGATTGGTCAGAACGGTCGCGCAAATAAAAAATGATTGGAAAAAAACAAGTAAGCGAAAAGAATCAGTTCAAAGCAAAGGTTATGGCTCTGTGCATGCCTAGCGACTAACAGGGAGCGAGGAAAATGTGGTCCATGCGGATTGCCGTATTCAGCGAGCAGCCACTCCAAGATCTCAAGCCAACGGAGTTTGGTGTACCTAACCTCGGCCAAGCTCCTCCCCACCAAGGGATGCTGCCGCGTGGGAGTCAGAATACCAATACGTCATTTTAAATATAATTTAAATTTAATTTAAATCAGAACTACAAGTTTTTCTAATGTAAGTTCTTCTGCTATTAGTAATACACCGTAATGTGATAGTAGGAGCCAAAGGACCTGGCTAATTATTTTCTAGTAATCATTATTTGATGTGTGACGGAGATATCCACAACTATTTGAATCATAATCAAAGTTTATTCATTGACTTCATACATTATTTATTGTTATTATTACAATGATGAGTGTTAATTGATAATCAAGCATGTTCGAAACCACATGCATATGGTTGATAGCGTGGGAAAGATGTGGGACGTCACATAGATAAATTAGATGGATTCTGTCCGCCACAAACGTTAACATGTCAGTCACGGGCTAGTACTAGCGGATAATTGTTATTGGATCTTGTCATGAAATATATTAAAAAAAATTATTAATAGATAGCTCAAAAATAATATCCACACGAACGCTCTTGATAATAGTTTCTAGTCAATTGAATTTTGAGTGCATTTAGTATTTTAGAAAACTCCATGCCTTTTACTTTGATATGACAAAAGTGTGTTAGACGTGTCACTATAATATGGGTAATTCCTAGGATCACAAATTGGTTTACAAGAGAGAACATTTATAGCTACCATCTCAATATTTTCAATTTAGTTGTTTTGGAAGTTTTGATGATAGAGTGCGACTAAGAATTTTCGAAACAATTTATCCCCCCAGCATGCTAGATCATGCATCATATTTTGGAAGGAAGACCATGGTTCATTGAATGCTTCTGACATCATACTGCACATCAATCAGTATCATATTTAATCTCAATAACTAAATCTAATTAAATATTTAATTAGCATAACAAGATAAATCCATCCAACAGTCAGGAAAACTTGGTGACGCATAAATTTTTTTTCCCTTCACTTTTTCAAAGCAAAGACTGTTTAGAGCCAAAAGAAAATAGCAAAAAGAACAGTAGAGCATTTTGCATAAGAAATTAAGAACAATGCGATAATTCAAAATGAAGCATTATGGAGGTCTTCAAGCATAATACTTCTGTAGCTGTCATTTGTAGTTGAAAAATTTAAAAAATAATAATGAAAAATAATACAAATAGTTTTTCCATATTGATGAAAATGCAGAAGTCATCATACCACTCAATACAAAAATAAAAGGGAGAGGTGATACATAATAAACCTGGAATGATTTTGAAGATATTAATTAAATAATGAAAAAATATATAAGAATTACAGGAAATCCAGTTCAGGTAGCAGGAAGTAGTATTTTCAACAAATAAGGCATCCCTACTACTGGAATGACACCTGCAAAATGAAATACAAAAAAATTATGGGCAAAGAAAATATCCATCCCAAGCCACTGAACTCATAACATATCCCAGCTGCCTTGTTGTAAAAAAATTCAATGTGATTATGAAAAAACATGGTCTGCTATGGAAAATAACTCAAGACATATTATTAAGCAATAACCAAATTATGGCAAAGAAATAAACTATAGAACTATGCCATATATAGTATGATAAAGCGTTCATTTTCTAACGGAGTTTAGTCAAAGCTAGTCACAGAATTTTGGTGTCAGTTTAAGCTTTACTCCTACTGGAATTATCATTAAAGATATAACATTCATCCATCCTATGCTTTTGATGATCTAGGAGGTATATACCTAAATGGAAGAGTGATGGAACCCTTTATTCTAATAAGCTTTAGACAAGCAAAAACCAGAAAAAAATACACTATAAATGGGAATGAAAAGACTATTGCTGGATAACAATTGGATTATAAGCAAAATAAGGAACTGAAACTACAATCAAATAACAATTACAAAGTACAGGGAGCAACACAAATACACTCAACTGAATAGCAACACAAAATATAAATCACTGATTTACTAACACACACTAAGCAGAAAGATGAAATCATGAAGAAAGATGATCTTCCTCCACCCCAACTTGGCATTCGAGAGGCCAAAACTCTCCTCACTACTCTCAACTTTCAAAAGACTCCACACCCCTTTCTCCAGGCAAAGGGAAAGATTTAAAGATCTAAAAAGTTACAAAAGATTGAACATATTCCTAGCTGCACCTCATATATCCATATTCATATGCCATTTTTCCCCTACAGCTAAGAACTTTAGGTAATTGTCTTTTCCACTGGAGGATAATTCTATTGTCCACTGAATTTGCTCATTTCTACACCATTTCCCTTCTTATAGATTATGCTATAGGCCTTTAATTGATTTGTAAACATTTTCTAAATTTTTAGCTCTATCAAAGAGCAAAGGCAGAAATACAGCATTGCTTCTCAATTATATTTAGCACTTCCTCAACTTGACCTCCAATCAATAAAAGCTGGCAAAATAAATACATATTAAAACGTGAAAGGACTGCTAGCATCTAAAATCTTTTTAACGTACAAAAACTCTACTCATACAATTTGAACTTTTTTTTTTTTTTTACCAAAATACAATTTGAACATTACAACGCACATGTAACAGGAACATGCATGTGATCATGGATACTTTGTATCTGTATCAACGATAGTAATGCTGCTGGTGCTGAGGGAGTTGAGTCAAGAACCACTTGTAAATACTTCACTGGCTCTCTGTAAACATTAGTAATGCAGTCAGAGATGAACCAAATGGTAACCACACTTAACCTAAATATGCTCAGTCATATGTAATTGAAAGAAACTTTTATCAGATGTTGGTAAAATAAAGTAAAAATATATTTGACTCTAATTTCCATCCTTATCTTTTCCTTCTTTTGGGGGTGTAAATTTTTTAAGATAGAAAAGTTTTCATAGATTAAAAAAAAAATAGAATTAAGAAGGCATGCTTTTCACTGAGAAAATATTGGGGAGAAAATCAAGTTACAAGTACACAAATATATGTGCAACTTAACCCATGTTGCTGTCATTAACAACAAAATGTAGATTGGTTTCCAATCAAAAGTTTTGACCAACCAAAAATGGGGAAAGAAATTTTTGTTAAAATAAAATCTTATAAGCAACATAAGAAGCACACCCATACAATGAAACAAATTAAAGACAAGACACAAATTTCAGGCAAGTTTCTCATCAAAGACATTGTAAGATTGTACTCAGTTAATGGAAGATGTTATGAATGAAAGTTTCCCCACTCCATGATAATAACCTGAAGACATAAATTCATGTAAGCTTCAATTTCCATTCTACTGTTCTTATCAGATATTTTGCAGTCCTCATCAAGATCAAAGATTTAAGTGAAGCAAACTGACATTAGAAACTCACCATTTCTCTATATTTCAACAAAAGACCATGCCATTTGGGTATTGCTTGAGCACGCTCCACATGTGCTGCATTAGTTCTAGTACCTAACATAACAGCAGCAAAGATATCTTTCTTCGTATATCGGCTTCCTGCTCATGTCCCAACTATATCATTGACCTAAGTAAATAATGAAAGTAAGTTCAAATAGAAAACATAACACACAGAACAAGCATTGTCTTTAGATCTGCCAGTATCAGCAAGTAATTCAGGAGTTATGTAAGTTGATGTTTATGTAAAAGAACCCAACAACTTCAATTACTAGAGCTGTTACACACATATCCAGACCTTTTCTTTAACGGCTTTTGTCAATTCTGCCACATCCTAACCAACCTATCGATAGAATAATAAAAATAAAATTAGTAACGACAATCATGGAAATGAAAACTTTTAGGAACCTTCTATATTCAATATCTGAAAGTACAGAAAACAAAACAGCACTCTTGAACACTAAATGGCAGCAGAAACAAAATCCCCTTGCTAGCAAACTCGTCAAGTGGTTTAATCGCCGAAGACTCGCTTGTTCCATTAACACCATAACCTAATGGTGCGCTAATCAATGACAGCCCAAATAATAGAGAACAAAAAAATAACGACCAGATCAATCAAGAACGATATTCAATCAAAATGAATATTAGAAAATACAATGGCAGAACATCCTACATGCGCCTAGTTAGGTGGCCAAACATCAAGGGAAACAATGGCTAATAAAACATGCGAATTTCTCCTTGAATAGAATCTCAAATGGAGATCACATAAGAAAAACAAAATGATTTATAGGCATTTGTGGAGATCACAAGACAGCTAGACGTTTTTCTCCAAACATTAATAAATAACCATTAATGTTTATATTAATTAATATTAATATGAATTGGATGGATCCTGGAACATGTACAATAAGAATAGGAAAACCTGGAAGCAGAGACAAGCAGAGCACAAACTCACAACATGAAATCCCTTCCCCTCCACCACACCAAAGCCAGTAATACAAGCATTCCAATCGAAGTAGACAAAATGAACAAAGTAATCTGGAAGAAAACAATTGGAAATTAACCAAGTTACCAGTGTCGCAAGTCTAACGTGCGACTTACCATCGACTGAGAAGGGAAAAAAGGAATAGAAAACAGGCAAGACATAAACGGGGCAGAATGGGATAGCAGTAAAACATAGCACTAACCTGGAAGGGGGACACACTGATGATCTCCGGCGCAAGAGATCCGCCATACAGCCACGAACAACCGACAGGTCCGACGAACTGCGGAACACTATATCCACAAGCAAATGAGACCGGTGTGAAAGCGCAAATAGGATGATAGATGAAATGGGCAAGTAGGATGGAAAGGCCAACAAAACCAAAACAATGAAGGAGCTCTATTAAAATTAATAGGGAAATGGGGAAGCTCGCGAAGAGGCACGGGGAGCAAGGTCGGTGCGTAATTCAAAGTTAGCCACAGGAGAGAGCCCTCGCCAAATTGATGTCATGTAAAGTTGGAAAAGGAAAACCATACGGATGGAAAACAAACACAGGCATTGGGGATGCTTTTCTAGATGGGGGAGCAATATTCATGTACTGTAACAAGTCTACCGTACCAAGGAACCAATCCAGAAAGCGTATTCCTTCCGCCGGAGCTCGGAGGGCACCTTTGTCCAATAAAAAACAATACA